GACGCAACACCCGGACTCCGGCTCGACCCCTGGTCACTGAAATCCCTTTAAAACCCTTCTATAAAACATATCCCCTTTCTCTCACGGACACGTATACTTACATTGGACACGTATACATACTTCGGACACGTACGATAGTGGGCTGGACACGTAGGGAAGGACTGCGGACACGATATCTCGTTCGAATATGGACTACCGCGGTGTGGCTTGGCTCTGGCTCGGCGGAGCAGACGAACTCTTAGGCTGATGTGGCGGACCTATATGACGTGGCGATTCACACGGACTTGTACTAGTATAAATATCGAACCTTTGTAGTCGAGATTCTCCAACCTGTTCACTTGTATCGTACCTACAGTGTTTCAGTTGAAATCACCAGAATTCTCAATATCGTCTTGTGCGACCTCAAGACGATACCCCTCGAATCTCGACTACTGAAGAGCTTTACTATCAGAACCCCGAATCCACATCAGCTCTAGCAGGACGCCTGCCTCAGAAGAGGATGCCTCCTCTGAACGAACTCGATTCTAGACCGGACGCCGCGTCTAGACGAACCGAGCCAGAACCCCGGATCCAGAACCCCCAAAGCCCCTCGCTGATCGCCCAAGCCGACGGCGCCGAACGACTCGATCGTTCCTCGCTTCACGAAACCGACGCCGCCCTTAAGCCTAGCTTAAGCCCGGTCGTAACATTTGAACAGGTTCTCCTAGCCTAAACGATCAGTCCGCAGAGGGACTCAGGAAATAGACATCACGGCACCCCGAATCGAAGTACCCCGAGGAGTATATCTCCCGGACCATATAAGCGTCCTCCAAGGCTCTGAAAGACTTTATACCACAGAACCACCCCTTCACTATAAAGGACAAGACTCTATCTTTTTCTGCAAGGTAGACGGTGACCGTTGGATATATACCGAAGAAGACAAGGATTGGTACGGAAAAGAGGTACCATTTTCCACATACAGCAGTCAAGGAGGAACAAGGACTATCCCATACCACCTTCCTAAACCCGCCAACTCATACCACGACGGGGAACGTTGGAAGTGCAGAACCTTCCTAGACGGGATACGCACTGAAACCAAACAACAAGAACAGAATATCCAGGTTGTACATAACCGCTGGGTGTACGCGAACCACACAGACGTTCCAGTCAGGGTTCTAGCAAAAGATCCAGACTACGAGCACCTTAACTTTGACTCCGAAGAAGAATCACCACCACCACCACCACCAGGAGGCTCAGGAGCAGAACCAGAGAAGGAAACCAAGAAGGACACTGCACCACCGGGAGGACCATCGCCAACACCACCACCAAGCGATTCATCAGGCGCAGACACAGACTCAGACACAGACAGTGACTCTGACGACTCCGACGATATGGCCAAAGACACCAAGATCAGCGCACCTGACGACTTTAAAGGCGAAGCCTCTAAAGTCCAGGAATTCATCACCAGCTGCGAATTATATTTCGCTGCAAACCCGGAGAAATACAAGGAGGATGAAAAGAAGATTATCTTCGCTCTGTCGTATATGAAAGGTGATACGGCAGGAGCATGGAAGACAGTCTTCTTGGACAAGGTCAACGGACCTGAAGAGGATAGCGACGATGAAGAAGGAGAGGAAGGGGAAGGCTTGGGCATATCTCCCATAACGCCCAAGAAGCCGGAATACGGAACCTGGAAGGATTTCAAAGCACAAATCCGAAGGGAGTTCGAACACGCCGCTCAAGAAATACAGAGCCGATTCGATCTGGATAGTTTCCGTCAGGGAAACATGAACGCCACCGACTATGTCACCAAGTTCAAGATCCTTATTTCCAAAGGAAAAATCAAAGGAAATAACGCGAAGGTCACATTCTTTCAGAAAGGCCTCAACCCTGCACTTCGCACCAAGATCTACAGCACATTCCCGCTGCCAGTATCGTTCGAGGAATGGTGCGAAAGGGCAACGGCCATGGACGCGCAATGGAGAGCATCCAATGCCTCCACCCCAGGCAATCGCGGCCGATCCTCTAACTGGAGGAACCGCTCCAACACAACCCAAGTTCGAGCGGTCAACCTCAGTTTTCAGGAACGCCAGAAGTACATACAGGAAGGAAGGTGTTTTAGGTGTGACCAGATCGGACATCGCGCCGCCGATCCCAAGTTTCACCCAAAGAACAACCAAGGTGCTCCAGGCAAAAACACCAATCCTTTCCGTCAGCAGATTCGCCAGACCACAGTCAATAACCAACCGGCATCGGCCTCGAACCTGCAACAGAACGAAGCTCTACCCCAAGGGAAGAATGCGATACAAGAACTCGTTCGCAAGATCCAGAATATGACGAACGAAGACCAGGATACGGTCCTAGAGATGTTTGGGGAAATGGAAGAAGCGGGAAGAGACACGGACTCGAACAATGGACAGGATTTTTGAAAGGCCTGAAGCTCGTGACGCAACTTCAGGCACGGACACGATTCCCTCGCGATGTACTCATACGGACAATAGCTATGCCACAATCTATGCGCTTTCCAGTTTACATCAGAGGGAATCATCAAGACGTCCATACCCGCGCTCTAATTGACTCAGGAGCCAGCGGACTATTCATCCATTGGAATTTTGTTCGAAAACACCGAATCCCCACCAAGGCCTATGCGAAACCCAAAACCGTTCGAAACGTTGACAACTCTGCCAACATCCTAGGAAAAATTACGAACTATGTCGAAACTACTCTCAAAGTCGGTGATCACGAAGAACAGGCCAAATTCTCTGTCACCAACATAGGAGAAGACGATTTAATCTTAGGACTTCCGTGGCTATGGAAACATAACCCAGCCCTTAACTGGAGAAACGGACATATGCTGTTCCAAGATTGTCCTCTTTCTTGCGAACTCACAATGCGCAAAAAGAGGAAACAGAAGAAGAAAAAGAAGATCCTTAAAGCAATTAAGGAACACCGCGCTTCCAGAATTATAGGAGGCGTAAGGACGACATTCAGAAAAACGGTAGCGAAAACTACATTTTCTGAACGAGTCCAGAAGCGATTAGATCAACATCGCTACAGGATGCGTATCAAGGAAGCCGGGCAGGTCTTTATAAAATCCATGGAACTAGGAGAAGATGATGAAATATGGTGGACGCCAGGGTTTGAAGAAGACGAGGAAGAAGAGTTTGTGAGACGTGCGTCGAAATCTACAGAACTCGCTGAAGAAGCTTCTAAAAACAAGGAAGCCCGCACCTACGAGGAAATTGTACCAGAACAATATCAACAATTCCGAAAAGTCTTCAGCGACGAAGAATCAAAACGATTCCCCACTTCAAAACCTTGGGACCATCACATAGATTTCAAACCCGATGCTGTACCACGAAACACATGCAAGGTCTATCCTCTTACCCCGGCTGAACAAATAGCACTCGATAAATTCCTAAACGAACATTTGGAAAGAGGCACAATCCGTAAATCTAACTCTCCACTAGCATCACCATTTTTCTTTGTCAAGAAAAAGGATGGAGAACTACGACCGGTCCAGGATTATAGGAAAATCAACGAAATGACCATCAAAAATTGATACCCACTACCCCTTACCACAGAACTATTCGACAGAATGGCTACCGCCTTCATTTTCACAAAAATGGACGTCCGATATGGCTATACCAATATTCTAATAGCCGACGGGGACCAGTGGAAAGCAGCCTTTCTTACCAACCGAGGTCTATACGAACCCATGGTCATGTTTTTCGGCCTCACCAATTCCCCTGCAACTTTCCAAACAATGATGGACGATATATTCCAAGACTTAATTGCCACTGGGAAAGTGGTAATTTACATGGACGATATCCTCATCGGAACCGAGACACTTGAGGAACACCGAGCTATTGTCAATGAAGTCCTAAAACGACTTCAAGACAATGACCTGTTCCTTAAACCCGAAAAATGCACCTTCGAAGCTTCAGAAGTCGAATACCTCGGAATGA